GCAACCTCTGCCTCCCGGGTTCAAGTGATTCTCCTGCCTCAGCCTCCTGAGTAGCTGGGATTACAGGAATGCTCCACTGTGCCCAGCTAATTTTGTATTTTTAGTAGAGACATGGTTTCTTCATGTTGGTCAGGCTGGTCTTGAACTCCTGATCTCAGGCGATCTGCCCGCCTCGGCCTCCCAAAGTGCTGGGATTACAGACGTCAGCCGTTGTGCTCAGCCTAAACGATGATTTTTAAAGCCAACATAGTAGCAATCATATAGTCTTAATTATTTAACCACCTTCTCCCTCATCCCATGTACACACTATAATTAATTCTTATCAGAAAAAGTGGTACATTTTGGTCAAGCGTTAACTTAATATCCACTTTATTAAGAGTCGGTGCTGAATAAAACTTGATCACTCTGTGCACCTCCTCCCCCATCTACCCTTAAAGTAAGAGAATTTTAATGATGCAGAGGATGGGTAAAAGGTTTTTGCCTGTGGCCGGGTGCGGTAGCTCACTCCTGTAATCCCAGCACTTTAGGGGGCCAAGATGGGCAGATCACTTGAGTCCAGGAGTTCGAGATCAGTCTGGGTAACATGGTGAAAGCCTGCCTCCACTAAAAATACAAAAATTAGTGGGACGTGGTAGCACACACCTGTAGTCCCAGCTACTCAGGAGGCTGAGGTGGGAGGATCATTTGAGCCTGGGAAGTAAAGGTTGCAGGGAGACGAGATCGTACCACTGTACTCCAGCCCGGGTGACAGAGTGAGACTGTGTCTCAAAAAAAAAATGTCGTTGCCTGTAACGATCTTGTCACATACATAGCATGACTATCTTATGGATGCAAAGATACAAAGAATTTGTCCTTCAAGTTCTTCTGAATTATTTAAACTCTGCTCTTTATCAAGCCTCATCATCTTGAATCCACCTTTCTACCTACTTCCAGATAACAAGTGAAACACCTTATGTGGACTACTGTGGCAATCTATTACTTTGCCTTCATTCCCCTGCTCCAATATATTTTTTTTTTTATGAACTCTTGCTCTGTCGCCTAGGCTGGAGTGAAATAGTGCCTCCTGGGTTCAAGCAATCCTCTTACCTCAGCCTTCCGAATACCTGGGGTTACAAGCACGCACCACCATGCCCAGCTAATTTTTGTATTTTTAGTAAAGCCAGGGTTTCACCATGTTGGCAAGGCTGGTTTTGAAATTCCTGACCTCAGATGATCCGCCTGCCTCGGCCTCCCAAAGTGTTGGGATTACAGGTGTGAGCCACTGCGCCAGGCCCAATATTTTTTAATACATAATATAAAGCTTAGAAAAATCCTGCACATTTTTCTTAACATTTAAAAAACAATACCCTTGTATAGCTTCTGAAGGAAAATGAGCACAATGACTGTCAGAACTGTTTTTTGAAGAAAAGACCTAGAGAGATTCACATTTGTTTCAATTAAGTATTGTTTTATGTACTTACACCTGCTCTTCAAATCGCCATTATAGAACTTAACATATAACATGAGTTGGCCAAATACCTCCCTCCCCTATAGCATCTTCAAGGACAGGATCGAATGATTTATCTTTGTAGCTCTAGGACCTAATTATAGTGCCAGGAATACAACTCCTCACTGAACACTGGCCAACTGAACAGTCTTTGTGCACTTAAATTGTTATGAGTGAAATGTACACCAACTGTTTAATATGACCATGTTTCTGCCTCAGTCAGGGAAAAATCCACATCACCATCATACTTCTAATAATAAACAGACCTGTGACTCCAAGCCTGCCCATTTATGGCAGGCCAAAATCTCATCTGTTAAAAAAACAAACACAAAAACTCACCTTAGTTCTAAATGCAAGTTCCATTCACTAGTACATCTCTTGCTATAAATGTCTACTCCTCCTTACCTTGGCCTCTAAGGCTTACAATACTCACCTATTCTTTATACAGTACATGCTACCTTCCAGATTCTCTCTCCTTTAGTTTTTCTAACTAGTCAAAATACAGTTCAAATATGTGCTCATGTCTTCATCTCTACCCACCCAGGCTAAGCCATCATCAGCTCTTGCTTGGAATGTTTGTCTCTGCTTAGACCTGTATCCTTACTATGTATTTTCCAAATATCAGTCGTTCAAAAAGGTAAAGAAGATCACATCACTTCTGTGTTTAATACTTGACATAGCCTCCCTAGTGCAGTTACAATAAAATTCAAACTTCTCACCATGACCTTCACAGTTCAGTGTGATCTCGCCTTTGACACCAAAGTATATAATTAATGTACATGTAGAATGATCACCAACTATTCAGGAAGTGCCAGGAAAATTTCACAAGTATCTTGACGAATTATTCTTTAGTTGAAAAACTTTGGATAACTAAACTGACATATGAAAAAAAATGAGCATTTTAAGCACTATAAAGAAGACAATACAAATTTACCTGATCTATCTGATCTTGCTGTCCTTTGTATACAGTTTCAGGATCTGAAGGAGGCCGAAGATGAAATTCTGAGTCACAGAAATTTCCATCACCATCTACATTGTGTAGGCTTTCCCAAACAACTTTTTCTTCAGTGAGAAATCCCTGGTCCGTTACCAGCAAATACAGTTGACCCTTAATAAGATGTAATAAAAGAAAAAGGACTGTTAAATTGATCAAAACTAGCTAATATTTAAGGAAAGTTTTATAATCTGTATCTTCAGAATATATTAAACATTTCTATTGTTTAGATCTGTACAACACAATAAATAGGCCAAGTAGATATTTTACTTTCTCAAATCCACCTGGATTTGAATATAGTTTATAGTTGACATACTGCATTATAACAAGAAATAAGAGCTCTTGGCATGCTCAGCTAATATATAACTTATAAACAACTTTGGGGGGTTTATAATCTTATTTCACAAAATAGAAAAATACTATACAAGTTCCTGAAAGATACATTACAGTCACAAAAAATGACACCATGTTGCCTTTTTTTTTCAATTATGCCTATATGACTAATCCAATCCATACCACTTTTTTCTTTCTCTGTACCATTAGCTGCTCTTGTTTTATACCCTAATAATACTTTGTACCTATTTTGTATTATCATTGTACTTCTGTTGCATACCAATAATAGATACAATCCAACTGTTCTGTACTTGTTTTGTAGCACCAAATTGCATAGTATTGATTGCATTTTCCCGACATCCCACTGAGTGTGTGTGTGCATATAAATATATATATTTTTAAATTTTTATTTTTTGTGGATACATAGTAGGTATATGTATTTGTGGGTTACATGAGGTATTTTGATACAGGCATGCAATGCATAATAATCATGTGAGAGTAAATGTGGTATCCATCCCCTCAAGCATTTACTGTTTTTGTTACAAACAATGCAATTACATTCTTTTTTTTTTTTCTTTAACTTTTTAACTTTTGTTGTTTGAGACAGAGTCTCACTCTGTCACCCAGGCTGGAGTGCAATGGTGTAATCTCAGCTCACTGCAACCTCCGCCTCCCAGGTTCAAGTGATTCTCCTGCCTCAGCCTCCCTAGTAGCTGGGACTATAGGCATGTGCCATCACGCCCGGTTATACACTCTTTTTTGTTTCCTCCTACTCCTCCAATCTTACTTATTTTAAAATGTACAATTAAATTATTTTTGACTATAGTCACACTCTTGTGTTAGCAAAAGCTAGGTCTCAATCATTTCTATATAGTTTTTTACACCCATTAACCATCCATCCCACCTGCCTCCAAATAGCCATCCCAGCCTCTGGTAACCATCATTCTACTCTATTTCTGTGAGTTCAATTGTTCTAATTTCTAGTTCCCAAAACTAAGAAGACGTAAAGTGTGCCTTTCTGTGCCTGGCTTATCTCACTTAACAAAATGACCTCCAGTTCCACCCATGTTGTTACAAATGACAGGATCTCATTCCGTTTTATGGCTCAGTAGTACTCCACTGTGTATGTATACCATATTTTCTTTATCTACTTGTCTGTCAATGGACACAGCTTACTTCCAAATCTTGGCTATTGCAAATAGTGCTGCAATAAACATGGGAGTGCAGATACCTCTTTGATACACTGATTTCCTTTCTTTAGGTTATATTCTTAGGAGTAGGATTGCTGGATTGTATGGCAGCTCTATTTTTAGTTTTTTGAGGAACTTCTTAACTGTTTTCCATAGTGGTTGTACTGACTTGTATTCCGATCAACAGTGTATGAGATTCCCTTTTCTCCACTTCCTCACCAGCATTTGTTATTGTCTGTCTTTTGGAAAAAAGACATTTTAACTGGGGTGAGATAATATCTCAAAGTACTTTTGATTTGCATTTGTCAGATGACCAGTGATGTTCAGCACCTTTTCAGATACCTGTCTACCATCTGTATGTCTTTTTTTTTTTTTTTTTTTTTTTCTGAGATTGAGTCTCACTTTATTGGCCAGGCTGGAAGTGCAGTGGTGCAATCTTGACTCACTGAAATCTCCATCTCCCAGGTTCTTCAAGTGACTCTCCTGTCTCAGGCTCCTGAGAAGCTGGGATTATAGGTGCCCACCACCACACCTGGCTAAGTTTTCTATTTTTAGCAGAGATGGGGTTTCACCACGTTTGCCAGGCTGGTTTCGAATTCCTGACCTCAAATGATCTGCCCACCTTGGCCTCCCAAGGTGCTGGGACTACAGGTGTGAGCCAGCATACCCAGCTCCATTTGCATGTCTTCTTTTGAGAAATGTTTATTGAAATAATTTTCCCATTTTAAATTTGATTATGAAATTTTTTTTCCCTAGAGAGTTGTTTGAGCTCCTCTTATATTCTGATGATTAATCCCTTGTCACATGGGTAGTTTGCAAATGTTTCCTCCCGTTTTATTTGTGGGTTGTACCTTCACTTTTTTTTTTTTTT